GACCTTTTGCTTGCCAGGCAGGCAGGGCGCCACTGAGCTAAATCCCTGGCCCTCCAGAGTGTTCTTTTATCTTGCTTTTTCCTTTTTTACTTAGCCTGAGCTCAGTCTGCAGAGCCAGTTTCTCCCCAGCTGTTCACTTTTACTTTCTCAAATAAACTTTGTCACTATTTAAAAAAATTAAAAAATTGCTGAAAACTAGAATTGAACTGCAACCTGTGAATGGTTGATGGCTTTTCCTTGTATACTAATTTTGTATAGTGAGGACAAGAAAAGATTGCAAAAGACAAGGCTATTTGTATATCCAACTAGAATTTATGGAAAACCAAATCTAAATCTTGCTTAAAATTCTTAAGCTAAGAGACCATAGTCTAGTTTTGCTCTTTCCCATCGTTTATGACAACAATTCAGAGGGGTCTCTTCTTCTTTTCTGATTGCATAGCCTTGTTTCTCTCTTGCTATGTGACAAATTAGCCCCCAAACACAGCAGCTTAGAATGATCAATATACATTTATTTTATACAGTTTCTAAAAGTCAAGAATTTGAGTGGCACAGCTTGGTGGTTCTGGCTCTCAGGGTCTTTTATGAGAATGCGGTACGATGACTGCTCGGGCTGTGGTCACCTAAAGGCTTGACCAGGCCTGCAGACTCTGTTTCTAAGATGGTGTACTCATGTGGCTTGCAAGCTGGTGCTTACTCTTGAAAACAGGCTCCAGCATCTCCTCATTGTGACCTTGTCATAGACTGCTTAAATGTCATCCCAGCATGGATTATATTCTGTTTTGATTTTAAAATTAATTAAAATACTTTTGTAAGTTCATGAAAGTGCTGTGAATTCTGTACCTCATGGATAAGTAGGTTCTGGCTCAGGGATTGGTGATGGCCAAGATTGGTCTCTGTAGCTCATGTGCTGGCGTACTGGAACAATGCTAACAGGCCATCCAAAACCAGGCAGTGGGCTACTTTTGGCTTGTGGATGGACCATAGTTTGCTCACCCTTGCTTTAGATCATCAAGGTGCAACTCGCTGAGAGAATTTCTGACAGGTCACAGGATACCCAAGAAACAACACGATTACCTGAAGTGATTGGAAACCACTACAGAGTTCAATCTTCTACCAGTCCTAACTGCCCTCCCTCTATTTTTTTCATTTATAGCAAAGTACACAAAATGTAATGTGTACAGTATAGTGAATTATCACAAAGCAAAAACTCATCTGGGCAAAAATTGGAACCATGCCAGCACTTCCAGAGGCCCCTTTTTGCCCCTTCCCCCACCTAAAGGGGACTACTCAGCTGACTTCTAGTGCTGGAGACCAGTTCTGTTGGGTTTTGACCTGGAAGAAGTGGAAGAATACCACAGACAATACTGCACTCTTTGGTGGCTGGCCTCTCAGTCCTGATGTGCTGTGTTTCTAGAAACACTGGATGAAGTGGTTTGTCACTCATGAGATCTCAGGGCCACCTTTTTGTCATGAGAACAGTCCTTTTAGAGAGGCTTGGCTGGAGGGGAGGAAGGCCTATGAGCAATCCAGCCAGCCAACCTCAGTGCTCTGAGGAACAGGGATATAAAGTACATTGCTGCTACAAAATGCCTAGCAACGAACATGGCCCCTTGTTACCGGAAAACTCAACGTGACTGGGGAAGTTGACTGAGAGTGTTCCTGCTGGTCATAACCTCTGAGGCTCCTATTGTCTCTGCGACTCATTAGCCCACACCTATTGATAGGAAAAAAGAAAAAACACCACATATGCTCAAACATGTGCTTTATGTTTGAATGTGAATCAAATCTTTTAACTTCAGTTCACTTCCATGGTCCAGGGCTGCTGTGTACAGCCACAAAGGCTGTGCTCTGGACAGCTTCTGAGAGTGTCATTCACACAGAATATAATGCAGTCTGTACCCCGTGGGACTACACAATGTGGTGGCCCTGCCAGTGATAGCAGTCAGGTGCCTGGATCCAGACCACAGTTTAACTTTGAATGTGGTATAGACACACACACCTTCACTGGTTCTTCATGTTTGGGCAAAAGCTTTTCTAGGTAAGAAGTGTTCTGCTTAATCCTTTAAGAAATCCTGCATGGGCAGAGTCCAACCCCCGATGTAAAGAATCCTTCTGAATTGATACAGAGCAGGCTAAAGTGTTTAAACTTGTATTTAATGATTTAGAGGATCTTCTCTTATAGGGCCTCCTTTCAGTGTGTGGGGACTATGGCAGTGGTCACATTTTGAACATCAATTCTCTTTATCTGGGATCCATCTATAAAAGAAAAAGATACTATGATCCCAGGTACATGAGAAGTCCAGAATAGGCACATCCGTGGAGACAGAAAGTAGATTAATTGTTGCCAGGGGTCCTGGGTATCCTTTTGGGGTGATGAAAAGCTGGAATTAATTTGTTCTAATGGTCACACCACTCTGAGCATATACTAAAAACCATTGAATTGTATACCTTACCAGGGTGAATTTTATGGTATGTGGATTACATTCCAGTAATTTTAAAAAGTTAAGAAATACTGAATCTTTTTTTGACCTCAGAACACCCTTGAAGCAATTTTTTTTTCCAAAGAAGGAACATTTCTGAGCTTTATGCATGGTTTTTCCTTTCTCCTAAAGGTAGAGCTTGGGTACAGTTATGCCCTGAGTCCTGGACAAGTTTACCTATTACAAACCACTCTAAGAATCCCAAGGTCATTCAGTCTCATGTCTTACTCCAAATAATCTTTTTGTTTTGAGACTCTTCCCGGATTGCCCAGGCTAGCCTCAAACTCTAGACCCTCCTGTCTCAGCCTCCTGAGTGCTGGAATTACAAACATGTGCCACCACATCCAGCTCAAACAATCTTACATTTGCTAAAAATCTAGCCCAACATTCTTCCGTGTATTGCTCCTGCTGTGGTTTGGATGGAGGTTAAGTGCGTTTCCAAAGGCTTTATGTTGAAATTTAACCCCCAGTGGAAGTATCAAGAGGGTGGAAACAAACTTGCTATGGTGTGAGGAGGTGACTAGGGTTAGACTGGGTCATCGGGGTGGAGCCCCCTTTGAGTCCTGGTGTCTTTTTTTTTTTTTGGTATGGGGGATTGAACTCAGGACCTTGCACTTGTGAGGCAGGAGCCGTGCCACTGAATCCTGACCCTAAATCCCCGGCCCCTGAGTCCTGGTGTCTTTATGAGTGGTAGGGGCACCAGGAGGGACACAGGGTCTGTTTCTGTCATGTGATACCCCGCACCACTTCAGAGCTCTGTGTGGTCATAGCCAGATTTGGGGTCTCAACTTGGACCTCCAGAACCATGAGCCAAAACCTTTTTCTTTCGAACTCACCCAGTCTGTGGTATTGTGTTGTTAGCAACAGAAAATGGGCTAATCCATCACCTAAAACAAAAGATGCTTGAGAATCTGATTTGAGAAATTTTAGGATACTGAGTTCCAACTCTGAAAAGGTGAAAAACCTTGTGAGGACCTATGGCTGTCTGCCTTTGGGAAGGGGAAATTTTGCTCTAAATGACCAAATATCTTCCCTTTCACTCTGTGCTTTCTCACTGAGAGCCCAAGTTAAGGGCCTGTAGGGCCAGGGCTGTGGGGTTGGTGGGCAGAGTGATGGAGGAGGACTGAGAGTGGGCCAGGAGAGCACACTCCTGTCTGGGTGACAGCGTGTCACTGGAGCTGTCTGCATCCTGGTTGTGATGAGACTGTATACTTGAGAAGAAGCAGTCGTGAGTGGAAAGCTTCTGTGGTGAATAAGGGCCATCCAAGTGCTTCTTAACTGTTCCAAGTCCAGTTCCTCTGAAGTGGACCTCGACAAGTTTTTAGGACTGAATGTTAAGCAGAGACATTCCTGCACTACGCAGGCATAGATGAGCAGAGGGCTGGTGAGCTGAGCCTGCAGGTCTCCCCGGCTCTTCAGGGGGCGAAAGGATCAAGCACCCTGCATGCTACCTGATGGGCAGGCAGGTATAGGCAGAGTGACACAGGCTGGCTGGGAACCTTTCCAGCCACTGTGTCCAATTTGAAAGCAGACACTGACACAACACATTCCATGTATTAGGTGCTTTTCCAAACACTGAACATACACTAAACCCATCGGATCTTCACAATAGCTTAGTATGTCACTGCTATAGTTATTATCCCTGTTTTTTGAGGAAACTGAGGCATGGAGAGGTTATCCTGGTCGCATAGAAAGCAGCATGTCTGGTCCTGGAATGGTCAGTCCATTCTCCTCCTGGCTACCTGGTTTATGATGGTCATGGAAATAAGTGAAAGTTCCTTTGAGTAGTGCTCTTGCTGGTCACCAGGGCAGAGAAGCATTGAGGCAACCATTCTTCACATGGGTATTATGACCAATGCCCCATCGGGCCTTTGATCTGCACATGCTCCTCTAATTCTCTGTGCCTTGCCTAGAAATTTTCACATGAGAGGAGCTGGAAGTGTTTGAGTCAGAACAGGATCTGTTTCTTCAGAGCCCCAGGTTTGGAAACCATGGCTTCTAGTATGAGCTTGCAGGATAACTACCTTAGGAGGCTTCTAGAGCCCCTAATTGTGATGGAATGTGGTACCACTGACAAGAAGATTATATGAAATAATGGGCTGGGTGTGGTGCTGGCCATAGTAGAGACCTGAGCCACAGACCATCTCCACGGACCTGCCCAGCCATTCAACGCCCCGGCCATTCTTTGTTCTTCCCATTTGTGCTTGGCTTCCTGTAGATGCTCAAGAGCTGCCAACTTAGTTGTTCTGAAAAGACTTAACTATGGAGGTCTGTAGCAAAACTGCGTGCTATTTGCCAGGCCCATGGGTAGCTCGAGGTTCACCAGTTGGAAGCTAGTGGCCTCAGAGGGGTCGCTGACAACAGACCCTGCAGCAGCTTTGCCCACCTGAACCAGCCTACCCTGCCTCAGGGATAAGGAGTAAGAAAAAACCCACTGGCCACCCCAGGCTATTCCCTAGAAGAGCAATGCTCCCAGGTCAATGCCCCTTCAAACACAAGACAGGAATCCAGGACAGCAGGACCCAGTAGAAATACTGTATTTATCTTTGAGGACTACTAGATCTTAAGGCAAGTGTCACATGTACAAAATAGTCAGAAATGAACAGTGAACAGAATTTACAGCAACATGTTGGAAAGAGAAGGGCAGGGGAGACATTTCAGACACTGCACAGTGGAATTTTCCCCAGTTGTTACCCTGGTCTATTGACCCCTCTGTGAATGGAGAAACAGGGAGACTCAGCACCTTCTCCCTCCTCTACTGGCTCCAGGGGGGGGGGGGCGTCCAGAGTGTCACACAGAAGCAGCTTTTCCAGACCATGGTGGTGTAACTGTTTAACCAGTGGGCTTCACTGGCCAGATCTAATCTCCTGGCTTTGTATGAGTCCTCTTCAGAAATGAGAAAATCAGAACGCCAAAAACATACAATTTACAGTGCAGGGCTTCTCCATCCAAACTCAAACTGGCTTGGATTGGAGCTAAAACAATACACACTCACACACATACATGGATGGGTATACACACACACATAATATACATGAAAGAAAAGAGTCACTGAAGCCTGAAAAATAGTGGATGTCCATTTACAGTTTGGAATCAGTGTGATTGTTTCCCCTTTGAAATCAGACGGATACTGGCAACAAGCTCTAGCCAGAGGGTAAACGCTTCCAGGGACCTCGCTGCTCAGTTCCTGGTCCCTTCTGGCTGCATGGGATACTGGAGTGGCTTAGCTGGTTTAGGAGAGCTGGGCCTGCCTACGGGCTGGATCAGCCCTCTGCCTCCTGGCTCTTCCTACCCCTTCCACTTGGGCACAGGACCCCCATTTAAAATGTAGGGCCAGTGTGGTACACACAACAGGGAACACGAGAATGAAGGAGGCTGAGCACTTGGGGGCTTTAACAGCCTGTTGTGAGTGGGTGACAGAAACTGCCTGGGGCTGAGAACCACAGTGAAGTCAGGAACCCAGAAATGTAGCACAAGGTGCATTGCTAACCCATTAAAAGATGAAGGGCATCAGGAAGAGGCTGCATTGATGCAGGTAACCATGCAGAGAACTAGCGCCATGATAACCGTTCTAATGCATGAAAGAACAGAGCCTGCTCAGGAAAACTGCTGTCACCAGGAAGACGAAGCCTCCGAGGAGAAGGCTGTCACTTCATTCTTGGAAAGATGAAATGCTCTTGCGGGGGTCAGTGTTTGATAGCTAAGAAATGAAATGATCGTTTTCATGGATTTACAGTTTGCCTCACCAGATCCCTTTGAGGTAGGTAAGAGGCAGGTGACATTAGCTCCATTTTACAAAGGGTAAAGTGAGGCCCCAAAACTTGCTGCAGGTCCCACCATGAGTACACCAACAGCCACAGTAAAGCAGCAGACGCTTGGGTCTTCCCTTCACTAGTAACACACCATTTTCTAGGAGCCCCCTCCCCTAATAAAAACTGAGGCACCAGGTAGGAGGAGCATGGACCATTTTGCTGAGAATTTTAAACTTTGATGTACTGGCAGGCAGGGGGTCCTTACCCTTGGGCATCAGCCAAAAGCCAGGGGGCCCAGGATCAGAGGCACCCCACCTCAACTAGTGTATGGATTTATTTGTAGGGGGTGGGTTTGTCTTTGCAGCTTTGTTTTTGCTGTCATGAAGCATTTTAGGGAGGGTCCACTCAAATTATAAGGCAAACCAACATAGGTGGTAGATGTGATGACATCTCACACATTCCTGGAGAGAGGCTCCTCTGGCTGCTGGCAAATCAGAGTGGATGGAGATACAGCTGAAGTCCTGTGAGAGGCTCAGGCCTCAAGCCGAAAGGTGCCCAGGGCTGAGATGGGAAGGGGACACGTGTGTGTCTCGTCCCGATTAGAGAACCCTCACGCCCCTGCCTGCTCTCCCTCTCCTTCCTTTGACCTCAGAATTTAAATTGTTCCTTAACGCTTCTGACCTGAGACCTCAGCAGTGCTACCACCACCTGGAGTAGTTCTAGCTTGACACTGGGCAGCACTGTGGCTCCCCCAGAAGCCACCCACACTTAGTTGCACTGCAACTCTTTAAACACCTGAGGCCCAGCTTGGCAAATTCTGGCCAACGGTAAGAATTTGGGAATTTCTCCAATTACTATTGTTCATGAGGAAACGTGACAGATGACTGCAGCCCTCCTTGTTTTGCCCAGAAGTACCCAATGCAGAGCTGACCAGGGGCAATGAAGAAGAATATGCCTGTGTTTTCCCAAGCTTTGTCCATAGGTCCTGGGGAGCCTGGGACTCCTCAAGCTTGGCAGCTCAAGAGGGCATTTTCCAAACAGCCCTGGTGCACCTGCTGCTGCACCTGGACTGGATCAAGCCAAATGTGAGAGTGTCCTGGTCCTCTGTAACCAGTTCCTGCTGGGGACCCCAATGCCTATGTAGAGAGGACAGCCTCAAACTGGTGACTGGGCCAAAGCATTGCTCGGGAGACTAAAAATCTGTGAGGGCCTGTGCCCATGTCTAATGGGGTGGGTGCCAGCCTGTGGCCCAGCCCCCTCACAGCACCGACTCCTTGGACTCCACTTCTGGGGCACTGGCCACAGGCCCGACGGGGTTCTGGTGTGTCACCAGGGGTGACGTCTCCTCCTCGGACTTGCAGTTGGGGACGGCTTCCACTTTCACCTCACTCAGTTCCTGCTCTCCTCTCTTCATGGCCTTCTGATTCAGGTGGTGGAGAATGCCTGCGCCCAGGGCATCCCCTTCCACGTTCACCACAGTGGTGGTCCGGTCCCTGGTGGGAAAAGAAAAGGAGGTGTCATATCCAACACCACTGCCAACAGACAGTGGGGAGCTAGCCCCGTCACAGGGAGGCTGGCTGCCACACCAGCGAACTGAGTGGGAGAGGCCCTATTTCCTGGAGGGCATGCTCCTGAGGGACTTGTTCTAAAGGGATTTTCTTTGAACATTTTCTATTCTTTTTTCACTTTTTTTTTTCGGTGTGTGGTGCAAAGGATCGAACTCAGGGCTTTCCATGTACAATGTAGGCAAGCACCATATCACTAAGTTGTATCCCCAAGCCTGATCATGTTTTCTTTTTCTTTTTTGGTTCTGGGAATTGAACCTAAGGCCTTGTGTGTGTCTAGCAAGTGCCCTACCACTGAGGTATATCCCCAGACCTTTAAAATTTTTGTTTGTTTTTTGAGACAAGGTCTTACTTATGTAGTTCAGGCTGGCCTTGAACTATGTAGCCCAGGCTGGCCTCAAACTCACAGCAATCCTCCTGCTTCAGCCTGTCAAGTGCTGGGATTACCAGAGTGTGCCACCACACTTGGCAATATTTTTTAAAATTCAGAAACAGGTCTTGCTACATTGCCCAGGCTGGCCTCAAACTTGCAGTGCTCTTACCTCAGCTACTGAGTAGCTGGGCACCATGCCCAACTCATTTTTTTACTCTTATAGACGTAATAGTCCCTCCTTGTAGAAAACTTGGTAAAAAGGAAGTGTAAGGAAGTAAAAGTTGAGCCAGGCGTGGTGGTGCATGCCTGTAATCCCAGCACTCAGGAGGCTGAGGCAGGAGGATTGCCTCAGAGTTGGAGGCCATCCTGGGCTATATAGCGAGTTCAAGGCCAACCTGAACTACACAGCAAGATCCTGTCTGAAAAAAAAAAAAAAGCAAGCCACTTACTAGTATTCTATTTCTCTTAGCAAAGTGGTGTTGACACTGTGATCTAGTTCCTTCCAGTCATCTTTGTGTGCATGTATTTTATACATAATGGACACCATTATATAAGATTGCATACAGTAGTGTTATCCTGGTGTGTTATTCTTGTTCTTATTTCAGTGCTGCTTCACTACTAGATTTTTTCTTTTTGAGACAGGATTTCACTAAATTGCCCAGGCTGGCCTCAAACTTGTGATTCTCCTGCCTCAACCTCCTGAGTGCTGGAATTACAGGCATGCACCACCACACCCAGGTCACTCCTGGATACAAACCAGCCCTCATGTGCATTCCATGGCTGTAGCAAACATCACTCACAGAAAATAGCACTGTCCTTTAGAAGCTTGTTACCGATTAGCCCAATATCTGCTCCTGTGCCTGGAGCTCAGAGAAGGTACTGCAGCCATTTTGAAGAGAGGGGAGAAAATGTGATCTCCCCTGAGGATATGATGGGCCAAAGCCATGGCTGTGGGATCAGAAGCTATGGGTGTCTGGAGGGCTTGTGTGGCTTCAGGTCTGTTGGGCTGGCAGCTTGGGGCCCATGTCCCTTCCTTCTCCATGCACAGGAGACAGCTGGGGAGGAAGGAGATGGGCCTCAGCCCACACTGGTGTTGTCCGAGTCACCAGCTCAGGGATGAAGCTCTTGCTGACGAGGTATCTGGACAACAGGAATCTCTACTCCACACTCCGTTCTCACTCCTCTGAGGAGCCCCTAGGATTCAGAGCAGCTGCTTTAAGATAGAAGAGCTACTGTTGCCTATGGGTAGATCCAAGAGCCCAGGGCCAGGCACTTGTGTTCAGATTCCCACACACCTGGCTGTAACTAGCCTGGCAGGAGTGTCTTTCTTCACTGCTGTGGACTGAAGGGTTTCCCATGTGCCCAGTATTCTGGGCACAGTGCGAGTGCTGACTCATTAAGCCTCACCACAACTGTGTAGCTTCTACCATGATTCCCATTTCACAGATGAGCAGACCAAGGCACAGAAGAGTTCACAATAGGCACCAACTACATGGCGAGGCCCCAATTTGAACCCAGGTGCCCAGGCTTCAAGCCTCATTTCCTCCCATGTGCTCTGCTATCTCAGTATCAGTTCCTCTGCCGACCTTCTCTGTACAACAGGTGTTATTTACACCTGCCAAAGGTATTGCTAGACTCAAGGAATCAAAATCCAGAAATTCCTTTGTGTCTTATTTATTTCATTGTTTGAGACAGGGTCTTGTTATGTAGTACAGGCTGGCCTTGAGCTTACTATGTATCCCAAGCTGGCCTCAAACATGGTGATCCTCCTTCCTCAGCCTCCTGCATAATGGGATTATAGGCCTTTGCCACCATACCTGGCTCCTTTATGTCTTTACAGGAGCCTTGGAGCCTGGTCCAGATCCCTGCCTTGCCTGACTCCTCTGCTGAGCCTGACTGGAGCCCAACTCGCTTGCACTAGCAGGGTTCCCTTTCTCTCCTCACAGAAAGTGCTCCTCGGATGTTTCCAGGCCAGGGACACCATTCCTGAAGGACCACTGCTCCTACTACTTATGGCTTCCATGCAGCCGTCAGCTCCACAGGACTTTGTGCCTCTAGGCTGTGCTGAGGGCCTGGCACTGGATCCTCACCTCACTGGATGCTATGAGCAAGTTCTCAGCAGGGGGATATATAGCATGGTCATTCATGGATTTTACAGGGCATTTGACCCTCACTGTGTTTAACTTCTCCTAGTTCTAACTCTGGTCTTGCCAGTTCAACTGTAGGCTCTTTCACAAGGCAGAGAGCATGTTTTAAATTTCTTTGCATGCCACATCCCTAGTGGAGTGTCAAGCTCCTAGGGAATCCAATAAGGTTTTTTTTTTAATAGTTGTTATAGCTTGTATCTAGATGTCCCCCGAAAGCTTCATGTTGTTATAGGTGCAGCTTTTCAGAGGTGGCTAGATCTAGAGAGTGTGATATTGAGATTGTGTGATGCTGGGATCGAGGGTGTGTGATTACTAAATTTGTCTACTGATTGGTTTGGCACAGTTCTGGATAGGATTAAGGGTGCCCCACCCTTAGGGCAGGTAGCCTGGATAAGATATAAGGGGCATATTGCTGAATGCTGCCTTCTGCCTGCCATGAGCTGTTTCTCCTCTGTGATGCCCCTTTGCCATGTCACCCTGTGTTGGAGCCAGCCAATGATGGACTGAAACCTCTACAGACTGTGAGATAAATAAACCTTTCCTCCTTTAACTTTGGTGTCAGGTATTTTGTCTCAGCAGGGAAAAAAAAGTAGCTAAGACAATTACGTCCTTAAAATTAGCTACTTATGGGACCAGGGATTTAGCTCAGTGGTTCCGCCCCCTGCCTCGAAAGTGCAAGGACCAGAGTTCGATCCCCAGTACCAAAAAAAAAAAAAGATTAGCTACTTACACAATCCAGTCCACAGCCAGGATTAGAGAGAGGTCTTGGGTGGGCAGGCCAATGGCTTCCAGGATAATGGCAATGGTGAGGACCCCTCCAGCTGGCACGCCTGCTGCTCCAACACTGGATGCTGTGGCGGTCACTCTGGGGATGGCAGAGAAGCCTCAGTCATTATCATGGAGCATGGAGGGGATAAAGAAATACAGAACATGGCAGCTATGGCTAAGAAACTGAAAAACCACACCACCACAGGTTCTAGGAGCTAAAGAGATGATCCACTCTTCAAACACAGTCAGCCCTCCATATACTTAGGTTCTGCATTCATGGATTCAACCAGCCATGGTCAAAATTGTATCTCTGGTAAACATGTACAGACATTTTTCTTATCATGACTCCCTAAACAATATAGTATACCAGCTGTTACATAGTACTTACATTGTATTATGTATTTTAAGTAATTTAGAGATGATTTAAAGTATGTGGGGAATGTGAGTAGGTTATATGGAAGAACTACAGCATTTTGGGTGAGGGATTTGAGTAGCCTGGACTTGTTATCTGTTGAGGGAAGGTGGTGGTCCTAGAATCAATGCCCCAGGATGTGGAGGGATGACTGCAATGAATCCATGCTGTCCTCATTTTACAAACGAGACACCAAGTTATGGTGATCTGGTTTTTCAATGGCGATTAAAAAAAAACAAACCCTCAAGTTTTATGCTCAGCCCAAAGATGACAGAAAGAGTAATGAGCTTACAGAATCGTGAAAATCTGTCCTGCATTCAGCTCCACGTTGTTGAGTTGGGCAATGAACACCGCAGCCACACATTGGAAGATGGCTGCCCCGTCCATGTTCACAGTGGCCCCAATGGGAAGAATAAACCTGCTGATCCTCTTGTCTACACCATTGTTTTCTTCAATGCACTTTATCATGGAAGGAAGGGTTGCTGAGCTAGAAATGGAAAAAACCCGAAGCCAATCATGAGAACGGCTGCTCTCAGCCGGGCTACTTCATAACTCATCTCAAACCCTGGAACAGAGCAATTAGCACCATCTGAGTTTCTGTCTCTCTTCCCTTGAACTAAGAGGGGAAACCAGAACTGGTTCAAAGTTTCTAACATAATATAAAGCTTTGTTGACTCTCAAAGTATTCAAAATATGACTTCCTGGTTTTACTTGTTATATTATTTGCTTGGATTCACCTGTTCTAATTTTCTCAAGAACCATATATTGCCTCAGAGCAAAATGTTGCCAAGAGGACAAAGAACTGGCTATGTGTCTCCCACAGGGTTCACTGGGTTCCATGCCGATATGGCTCGGAGCAGCTGAGGGCACCTCGAGCCCACTCACCTGGAGCAGGTGGCAAATGCTGTTGCAAATGGCGTGAGAAGGCCCAGGAGGAATCTGAATGGGTTTTTTCGTGTGAAAACAAAATAAATAAGTGGCAGAACAATTACTCCATGAATAATGTGGCCCAGTATAGATGCGAAGATATATTTCCCAAGACTGGTCACCAGCACAATGATGTCCTTCATTTCCACGATCTTGCTTCCAACTAGGAACATGATCCCCACAGGTACATACCTAAAGCAGAAACACAGAGGACCTGTCAGGAAGGTGGACTGGAGGGGCTGGGGGTGCTGGCCCTTCCCAATACAGAAGGTAGGGATTTTTCAACTAGTCCGTTTCCATCTCTCCCTAGGCTAACCCTAAACACAGAAAAAGATGGAGGTAGACTATACCCATTTTATAGGTTGTGAGACTGAGTGAAATGAAGATGACTTGTATGGGTAATGCAATCAGAACCAGAATGAGATTTCTTTCCCTTGGCTACATACGTTCTCAACAGATGGGTGCCACCAACCATGCAGGGTCCCAGCAGAAAGGCCAGGAACTCAATATCAAAGTCCCTGGGATTGTGAACTTTGACATTTGGTTTTGCTTGGGCTTTTCCTGAGAACTCAGAAACACAGAGGACTAACATCAACTTCACAGAATTGCTGAGATACAAATTGAGCCAAAGCTGGGACTTCTGTAAAGTTTTACATTCCTTGTGGTTTGGAAAACATGATCCCGTGGGAAGAAGTCATTGGCAATGACCCTCTGGGAACACGCTCAGAACGTGAAGGGTTTTTTAAAGGCAGGAGGGGAAGGAATGAGGGGTACCAAAGAACAAAAGTCAATTGTTTTGAATGTAATATCAGCTCAGGAAGAATTTTATAACTATTGACTTTGTAAATTTCAAGTACATAGGTAATAATGTCACATAGTTCAAATTTCAAAGGGTACCAAAGTGGATACTGTCAAGTCTTTCATGTCTGTCCTTTCGGTGGCATCCAGTGCAGAGAGCCAATGCCACTGTTATTTTTTAGTTTTCCTTAAACTATGTTATTAATTTTAAATCCCATAGTCATACACAAATACATACTCCTTTCAAAAAGTTAAAACATTATAGATTAGACCCAAATCCAGACCCCTCTCAGATAACCACTCCTGCTTCCTATGCATTCAGATAGGAATGTATTTAAATCTTATGTTTATTTTGCATCCTACATTATGACTTTGAGATCTTTTTAGGTCAGTACTTAGAAATCTACCTCATTCTTTTTCTTCTTTTTATGCAGTACGAGGGATTGAAACCAGGGACACTCTACCACTCACCTATACCCCTCAGGCCTTTCATTTATTTATTTATTTATTTATTTATTTATACTGGAGATAGAATGTGGGTCCTTGAGCTTGCAAGGCAGGTGGTGGAACCACTGAGCTAAATCCCCAGCCTTTATTTGTATTTTGAGACAGGGCCTCATTAAGTTGCCCAGGTTGGCTTTGAACGTGTGATCCTTCTGCCTTAGCCTGCCAAGTAGCTAGTATTATAGTTGTGCACCACTACATCTGGCCTTTTTTATTGTGGTGAAATATATATAACATAAGATTCACCATTTTAACGATTTTTTTTAAAGAGTAAGATATATTTTTTGAAGGAGAGACAGCTCCTGCCAGAGAGGGATGGGAGGGGACACCTGGAAAGTGAGTTGCCCCCATTTTAACCATTTCTTTCTTTCTTTTTTTTTTTTTTTGGTACTGGGGATCGAACTCAGGTCCTTGCACTTGCAAGGCAGGCGGCAGAACCACTGAGCTAAATCCCTGGCCCCATTTTAACCATTTCTAAGGGTACAGTGCAGTGGCCTTCAATAAATTCCCACGGTTGTGCAACCATCACCACCATCCATCTGCAGCACACTTCCATCATGCAAAGTGAAACTCAGAATGCATTAAACAGTAACACTCCCCCATCTCCCTGCCACTTGGCTCCTGCTAATCATTGCTCTGCTTTCAGTCTCTATGAATTTGATTCTTTAGGTACACAAAAGTAGAATCATACATCATTTGTCCTTTTGTGACTGGTTTATTTCAGTTACCATAATGTCCTCAAGTTTCACCCACGTTGTAGTATGTGTCAGAATTTCCTTAAGGCTGAATACTATTCCATTTTACAAGTATGCCACATTTTATTAGTCATTCATCAACTGGGGTGATGGACACTGGGGTTGTTTCAACCATTACCTCACTATTTAAAAATATTTCTACAGAATGAAAATACCATTAGTTATTTTGCCAGTTTTACTGGTAGACATTTAAATTGTTCTTAGGTTTTCATCAGTACAAATACCACTGCACACACGCCTCTTTGTGCCCACAAGCCTGTCTTCTTTAGGTGGAGACACCAAGAAGTGATTCTACTTCTTGGTATCTTAGTGGTACAGTACTGCCAAATTGTTCTCTGTGGTTTGACACTCAGCAAGATCTGCTTACTGATACCTACTTATGTAGGTATCAAACTGAAGGAACCACTAAACTGGTTTCCAATTTGAAAACAAATTGTCCTGATCTGGGAATATTACTTTCTTGCACAGGATTTTTTTTAGTCCAAACTTTGGAAGAATTTTAGACTCAAAATATAAGCCAAGAAAGAACTTGACATTGAATGAAAAAACTTTTTCCTTTCTGATAATACTAGTTTTCTCCCCAGAACAACAATCATATAACATATGGCATATTTGCAGTGACAAAGTCAGGCTCTGGAATTTTTAGTCTGAACAAGAAAAACACCACTGAGAGGTCACTCAGTTTCAAACTTCTCCTAAAATTCTAGCTGTTCCCATCTCCATCAAGGAGAGAGAAGTTCTGGGTTTTCAAGGGTTGACGATGAGGAAATACTTTGTGTGTGAAAACATAAGCTAGTTCTTACCAACTAATGGGCAGAAGCTAAAAGCCACAGAGGTCTGGCTTTCCTTGTGAAGTAGCAGGAAAAGCTTCTGAGGTATGAGTAGTAGAACTGGTATGATTTCTGGGGGGTTGCTTTGAAGGAGCTAGTCAAATTTTTTTTCATCAGGAATCAATCTAATGGTATTTATTAAACAATCCTCCTTTCACTGATATTATACAAAGAAACATTTATAAATTAAAAGCTTAGTAAAAAAAAAAAAAGACCATTCCAAGTTTACATACCCACAAGGTGAAGATGGGCTTGTCCTCCACATTGTGAAATGCTATACTGAGGGGTCTCTATATTTTTTTTGGTGCTGGTAATCAACCCCAGGTCTTAATGCATACTAGGCAAATGCTTTACCACTGGACTACACTGTCAACTTGTGAGAGGTCTCTTTGAAGTTTGAAGTCTAATGAGTCTTCCTTTGTGCAGCAGATAGCAAATTGATGGAATTCATTGATTTACAAGATGATAAGGGCACTGTATATGATATGGGTACTGACTGAAATGGGATGATGGTGGGAACCCATAAATAGATGACCAAGATAGAACAACTAATGAGTCAGTTTGTGCTCCAAGGACATGACTAGCAACTATGGAGCATACCTAATTCCCAGAGGTTCTGGACAAGAGAAGTCTTCTCCACTTCCATCACCTCTGTACCATGCCTGGCCTGTACGAAAGCAACCACATACAGAGCACTGGGTCAAGGAGCCCAACAGGACAACTTAGAATGTCAAAGTTGGCTCCTTTTCTGAAGGTCAGGAAAAAGAGAAGAGGCGGTGGGGTGACACTCACCACATAATCCATGACACCAGCACCATTGTTGCCTCGTTGAAGGAACTGAAGAAACGGATGAGCTCTTCTCCTTCAGAGCCCAGTTTCTTAAGGGCCACTCCTAAGACTAGGGCAAAAAGGACCAATCCTAAAATGTTCATCCCTTCGATCTCGGTACCAATGGGGATCTGCAGGACCAGAGGAGAGAGAAGAGTCCAGGATCACAACAGATGAGTGAGAATTTAAGGGTATTTACTTGGCATCTCCATCTGACTGAAACACCATCCGGAATAAGAAAAGACTCATTTTCTTTAATCCTTAGTGATTTTATGAAGAAAAGGGTAGAAAACTTAAGGGGGGAAGATGGTGTGGAGGATACAGAAAGTCAACAGGTGAAAGTTTCACCTAGTTTACTCTGGAAGCTGTTTAAAAATAGGGAGAAGCTCACAGGTCAGCAGCATTCCCAGTGGGGAAACAGTAGTGAAGGCCACATCTGCCAAAACTTGTAGGGATTGCAGAGATAATTAGTGTTCTAAGTGAATCTTAGTGTTATAAGATTCACTCTCGGTGTTGAATAGTTTGAATCAACCTTGGAAGACCATCATTTCAGAGAATTAGGAGTGGGGATAATAAATCCTACCTGATCAGGTTGGCCTAGGCTCAAATGATATGTCAAAATGGAGGGCTTGGACTGTGCAGGTGGCACCCAGAGCTAATCAATCTAATGGAATTTATTAAACAATCCTCCTTTCACTGATATTATACAAAGAAACATTTATAAATTAAAAGCTTAGTAAAAAAACTTAGTAAAAAAACTTAGAGAATGGGCCTACGTGACATCCACATCCCAGTGAGCCAAGCTGTGGAAACCAGGGATTAGCAGAGAGGCCCAGCTAGACCACCACACTCTCTGCGACCCTTGAAAATCAGTGATCACTGATTAAATCAACATGTATGAACAGGGGTGATGGCAGTAGTGGTTGTTAGGATGTACAAGGTTTTCCTCAGGATTGTGGTGTCTTTCTGGGAAGTAATCCTAGGATGCCAAGAATGGCAAATGCGCTGAAAGGTTCAGGCAATGAAGTACAGACTCTCCTACACTGAAAGTTTTCTGAGGATCCCACTAGACATTCATATGGGGGAAAATCTTGTTATAACAATCTGAGCTTGGGCTAACTCCATTTTACAAATAAATAGATTTTTTTCTGCAGTTTTAATACGTATTGGACTTTTCAATAATATCAAGTTGATATAAACTCAAGGAAAATTCTATTTTGTTCTGAGCTTTTATCAAGTGTTGTCATTTTAGGAAATTGTGTCACCAGAAGCCAAAATGCTAATATCCAAGGGACCAGTATAACACATGTCAGTCTGTAGTTGTAGCTGTGGTAATCAGGATGATTCTATATGCAGATAAAAAATATTTATTTAGCATTTATTTCAAAATGTACAAATAAGGAAAAATGTATCAACAGTGTTTAGTTGAATTCTGTTTCACTGCTCCTTTCTATCTATCTACCTACCTACCTATCTGTCTTGAGACAGGGTCTTACTTTGATGCTGTGGCTGGCTGGAGCTCCTGACTGAAGTGATCCTCCTGCCTCAGCATCCCAGGTAGCTGAGACTGTAGGCACACACCATCAAAAACGGCTTATTTCAGTGCTTTTAAATCTAAATTTATTCATTCCAAGTTGATGCAAATATCTGAAAACTTCATTATGTCTTCTAGTATAACTGTGCATTTACAAGGTAAAATATGGATTATTTTATTATAAATTATTTTTATTTCTCCCTTGTGCTACATTGATTTAAAAAAATGAGTAGGGGGAGGTTGAGTTTCTACTTATATTTCAAGATAGTATAAGGGGTGTTAGAAAATATTTTATAGATCCTCTGAGGATTCCAGTGCTATCAGTGCAGGCACTTGGCCATGGTGGTAAATAACCTAAGAAGCAAGTCCAACTTGTTTGGTTTTTTTTTTTTTTGGTACCAGGGCTTGAACTCAGGACCTTGCGCTTGCAAGGCAGGTGCAGTGCCACTGAGCTAAATCTCTGGCCTGCAAGTCCAACTTGTAGGCTTTAAATAGTCCACTGAAACCCTAAAGCTCCATCATAAATGTCCCTTAAGAAATACTCGCTTTATGAAGATCTTTCACAAGTGATCTTCTGGAGAGACTTACCTTTTCAGACACATTTCCAAAGCTGGTGTGGTTGACCACATTATAATTGGTAGCGTACTGTGATGGAAAAGAAGAGAATCAATGTTAGTGGCCAGGATAAGCCCTACCCAGAGGGAGGGCATGGCTGGCCTCTGGCAACTTCCAGCAATACTCACACTGAGAGTTCTGGGCATGCTTCACTTGGCTGGTCTGACAGGGAGCTCAGAACTGTACAAAAGTTACATTAAGACTAAGGCAGCACATCCTTCAAGAAACTTCTGGGTTATTTAGGGACCCAGAGAAACAGAGATTGCTTGGGCAATGGTTTGGAGATATGCTCAATTTCCTGCTGATAGTCTGATTATTTCCAATAGTTGATCTATTTTGTGATACTTGAAGAAATCCGGCACTAATTCCATAATGCCAAAGTTCACTTTGCCATGTGTCATTTCCTTTTCATTCATTTATTCATGTCCCACTTTGTTCCAGAAGTTATTTGAGCATGACTGCTCTTTAGCATCTGTTTCTAGGGCTGGGGATGTACCTCAGTAGTTTCACCACCTGCTGCACAAGAGCAAGGACCCAAGTTCGATCCCCAGTACCAAAAAAACAAACAAACAAGCAAAAACAAACCCAGCATATGTTTCTAATCTGGCTTGGGCCTCCACTCATCAAAGCAAGGAATGTGAGATGAGATGGCGACTACTGGCTAAGTTATCCAGGAGACTCATTTATTAGAAGTGAGATTTCTCTCTCGCACCTTTCAACAGTTTGCTTGACTTCACACACCTCTGCACAGTGCCCACAGGTACTGCTTGTGGCAGCCTGCACTATGGAGTGGGATCTATTAGAGTCCAGTCCTTCCTCACCCATACTAAGGGCACCTGCTTTCAGAACCTTCAAGAGGAGCTTGTTTGGAGGTACAAACCTGGGCTTTGTGCCTGCCTCTTATGAGCTCTGCCTTTGCTCAGCTTGACTTATCAAGGCTTCAGAGAGGCGGAGATGTTCAACTGAGACTATGGATGATTTTTTGTTTCCTTCCACTTTTCTTTTTGTATTTTTAGTTTTTGTAATGAGCACATATGACCTTTATAATAAAGTAAAAAGTGGAAATGTATTTTAAAAAATTCTATAATATTTGACATCCTAAAATGTGATTTGAGGCTATTTCCTAAGTGCCTAAGTGATATAAGAAGATTTTGAAATTAGTGGGACATTTAAAAGTTTTCTTTGCTTATTCTTTTGTCTTTATTATTTTTTTATTCCAGGTGCCTATCAATAATAAGCTTAGGACAATTGTTAAACACATGGTCCCTCGCTAGTCTACTTAACTCGACAGCAGTGATTTATACTTTGCCAAATACATGAAACTTTGATGGGGGAAAAGTATCAAAACTTACTGTGCGGAATGATGCAACCACAAGATTTGAGGGAAACAGGTTTCTGTTGGGAAAGAAAGGATTTTGTCAGTATTCTTAAAATTCAGTGTGAAAGTGTCTGGTTTGAGACATCCATTCCTAATAGCCTAATGTGTTGTTCTCTCTCCTTCGATACACAAGCAGATATGGTAGTCTTTTGCTTGACTTAATCACCCCAACTGACCGCAGCTGCTCCCCAACAATAGCTACTTCTGAGTGCACCATTCCCCCCCCCCCCAGTACTAAGGATGGAACCCACGGCCTGTGTAAGCCAGGCAAGTGCTCTGGCACTGAGCTACAGCCCCAGACAGGTGCACATTGTCCCCTGTCTCATGATGTTCCTTGGGCTTCAGGCTTAAACTGTGTCCGATCCAACCTTGATGGTTTCCTTTCACCTCCCTTCAGGTTAAGCCCCACTGCAGTGCTTTGCAATGGCAAGTGGACCTGCCTGCTAGCAAAATCCCAGGGATTCTTTTGTTGCTGCAATGAGTAAGAGCCACTTCTAGAATTGAGGGAAGAGTATACAGGGCTAAGTGGCAGGTCCCAGACATCTGTCCTGAGAAGCGCAGTTAAAATCCCATACAATGAACTGTCTCAAGGCCTTTATGATTTCCAATGAATCCATACATAAAAACACAATGAATCTATACATAAAAACCTTATTTATAACTACCTGAGCCTGGACTAACTCCAAAACCAGGTTTTTTTCCCTTTGCACAATTTGAACGTTCACTGAATTTTCCAGGAATGCACTACTATATAAATTATTGGATGATGATTGTTGTTGTTCAGAAAGTTCCAAGAATTGCTCATCTTCCTAGAAAATCACATCACCAATGGCAAATTGTAGGATCTGAGTCCTTAATTCTGTACTCCAATATTAAGTATCAGTCTGCATTATAGATACTCATTAGCTGTGATTCTAAATTCAGGAGCAAGCATCCACTCCCTTTCTTTAAGAATATATACTTATTGGGCCAGGGATTTAGCTCAGTGGCACTGCACCTGCCTTGCAACCACAAGGTCCTGAGTTCAATCCCTGGTACTAAAAAAAAAAAGGGAAAACGTATATACTTATTGAAAAGTTGTTTTTATTATAATTATTTTCCTTTTATCTTCTGTATTAGTTAAGTTATTATATTTTGAAATACTTCCTGAAAGTAAAATTTACTTTTGGATTCATTTAGAATGAGGGATGTAAAGTATTGTCATAAAAGAAAGGCAACAGAATTAAGTCCAAAATCTATTCATATATTTTCTTTTTCTGTGGTACCAGGGAATGAACTCAAGGCTTCCACACTGAGCTACATCCTCAGCCCTTTTTTATTTTTGAGAGAGGATCTCACTAAATTGCCTAATCTAGGCTTGAACTTGTGATCCTCCTGCCTCAGCCTGCAGAGTTCTGGGATTACAAGTGTGTACCACCATGCTCAGGTTATACAAACAGTTTTTATTGAGGGTTTCCTTTGGATCAGGTTCTGTGTGGGATGCTGGTCTTGATATAAAAGAAATTAGATAGACCATTTGTTCTATCTACTTTCTATAAGAAGAGTAAGTCTAAAACAAAAGACTCAGGTTCATCTTTCATAATTTGTTCCAGACTACCCACTGATTCTTTCCTCTGTGGTTGGGTTGTCCACCAGCACAGGGACCTCAAGGCAACTATGTGTAGTACTTTGAGTTTCAGAGTTGGACAGGTACAACCCAGTAGCCACAGTCCTGAGACGACTTCCTGATCTTCACCCCTTTGCCTGATCTCCCCTCCTTGACTGTGAGTGGGACCTATGACATTTTTTTTTTGGACCAGGGATTGAACCCAGGACCTTGCGCTTGCAAGGTAGGCATGGTGCCCCTGAGCTAAATTCCCAGCCCTACTTCTAACCAACAGAATGCAGCCAAGAGCACAGGATATCCCTTCCATTATCTCTTACATACAACTGTTAGCTTCCATTTTGCTAGCTGAGTCTTCTAATTGTCTACTGGGCTGACACACTTTGATGAAGCAGGAGCTATGCTGGAAAAACCCACATGACAAGAAACTAGGTACCAAGGCACCCCATCCAACCCTCAGAACTGAATTCTGCCAACAACCACATGACCCCAGAAGCAAATCCTTCTCTAGTCAAGCCTTTGGATGAGACCCCAGTTCTGGCCAACACCTTAGTTCCAGCTCTGTAAGAGACTCTGAAGCCAAATGCCAAGATTCCTGATCTCTGGAATAGTAAATGCGTGGGAGTTTAAGCTGCTACATTTGTGATCATTTGTTATGCTGCAGTAGCTAACTAGTTCACCAGCCAACAAGATGAATGAGATGCAAATATACTTCACTAGAACACTCCCAGTACCCTCACAGATGATTAGCATTTAAAGGCTGCAGTGAGTTTGTTCCCAAACTTACTTGCCTGTGAAATCTGAATTGCTTTTAACATAGAGAATGCCAGCAAATACACATGTGAATTTAAGCAGAAAAAGGTTATCTCTGGGTGAATTAACTGTCACAAAATTGTGATCAGAAATTTCATTCTTATCAAGGGTATAGTTACTTAATATACTTCCATCGGGTAGTGTTTGGTATATTGGGGAACAGCAAGTTATGTTTGTCTATTATTTCCACAAAGCAACTCTTACCTATCTCAGTCTTGTGGGCTAGGTTTGGTATCTCATTTCTCTTTCCTGGTCTAATCACAGGCAGAAAGAGCCCGTTTCAAAGTTTCCCTGTTCCGCTGGGGATGTAGCTCAGCGGTACAGCGCCTGTCTGGCAAGCACGAGGTCCTGAGTTCAATCCTCAGTACCAAAAAAAAAAAAAGTTTCCCTGTTCTACATCCATCACCTGACAACTCTCAGGAGCTCCCAGACTGAGCTGGCCACAGTGTTCTCAGTGAGGACAGGGAAGTTAAGGAAATAGCCAAGGTAGAAAACCACCTTTCCCAAGGGAATCATTTCCCCTACAAATATCTCCCTATCCTTCAGGCATTAGCTGATTTTTCCACTGTTGTAAGCACAGCCTTTCTCACAGTCTGGAAATGGACTCTTCCAAAGACCACAACAGTACTTACTAAAATCCTCCAGGGCTGGGGATTTAGCTCCCATGGCGCCACACCTGCCTCAAAAGCGCAAGGTCCTGGGATCAAACCCAGGAAGGGGGGTTGGGGGGAATCCTCCTGTCCTGCCTAGTTTTGTTTTTGTTTTTTTCCTGCCTGGTTTCTTCCTCTCCCCCTCCCCCTCCTCTTCTTCTTCTTTTTATTTTTGGTACCGGGGATCAAACTTGGGTCCTTGAGGTTGCGAGGCAGGCGGCATAACCACTGAGCTAAATTCCCAGCCCCCTGCCTGGTTCTTTATCATGAGTGATAACCTGGTACCATTTCATCCAGAATGGCCTCTAATTCAGAACCTGTTTTCAGGCCATCTATGAGATCCAACGGAAACAGAAGGGTACAGATGATATGGCAATTACTGCCAAAAACATCAGGTTCCTAAGAAGAACACAATGTATTTTGGCAGTTCCTGATAAAGTTAAATGTATCTTGGGCTGGGGATTTAGCTCAGTGGTGCCACTAATGCCTTGTAAAAGCAAGGTCTCAAGTTCAATCCCCAGTACCAAAGGAAAAAAAAAAAAGTTAAATGTATCTTTACCATACAACCCAGCAATTGTACTCCTATTTACCCAAGAGAAATGAAAATATGTATCTGCAAACAGGACCTGTATGTATAATGGCATTATTCTTTTTTTTTTTTTTTGGTACCGGGGATCGAACTCAGGTCCTTGCACTTGCGCAGCAGGCGGCGAAATAATGGCATTATTCTTAATAGCCCCAAATCCCAAATGTCCATGATAGATGAATGGAGAAACAGATTGTGATATATCCATACAATGGAACCAACTACTGATACACACAAAAAACTAACTACCAATATACACAACATGGATATAGCACAATGCTAAGCAAAAGAAGCCAAAGACAAGGACATAATGAATGATTTCACAGACATAAAACTCAAGAAAATCTAACTGATAGCAATAAAAAGTTCATGAGTTGCCCAAGGCCAGAGGTGGAGGATGGAGATGGCTGAGAAGATTGTCAGGTGGTGGCAATGTTTGGTGCATCAGGTGTGTTGATGGTTATGTGAATTACCCATTTCTCAAAATTCACTGAACTGTATACCTAACTACCTTTTTTGGGGGGTACTGGGGAGTGACCTCATGACCTTGTGCTTTCAAGGCAGGTTCGGTGCCACTGAGCTAAACCCCTGGCCTTTTTACTATATATAAAACATACCTCAAAATTGCTTAAAAAGTATTTAAAAATACAGTGAGAATTGCAAAGGAGATTCTATAACCAAAAATTACATGCATTCAATGGGTGCCTGCAGTCTCCTTCAATGACAGCACAGTTTCAGAGAGCAATCCCCAGCATGGACAGTGAGCTGAAGTTCAGGCATCCAAAGAACATCTTCCTTTCATTGGTTGCCATGGACCAGAAGTAGTTCCTGTCAGCTTCCACAGGGCAGAGGCCAAGGCAGCAGGAGCCACAGCTGTAGGAGTGGAGTGTAGCATTTCCGTGGCCCTCTCAGCCTCTCTCCTGGGGCTTTCAACACATACTGTGGTGAACTCCAGCCTTTCCTGATACCTGTGCTCTGGGATCAGCTGCTTATGAACATGTAAGCAGCTCTGTCCTCAGAACTCTGCCTTCAGACACTTGTCCTAACTGCTCATGTTCACACAGTAATGTCACAGGCTTTCAAAATAAGGAACACTCAGCAGAATGGACTCTAGAGGTGACCCCTCATCAGCACACAGAGGCCCCAAGGTCTGAAGGTGATCCATCTCCCAATCCTCCGCCTAGACCAGCACTGCCCTACAGGACTGTGTATTTCTGCTGTCCCATGGTAGCCTCGTGGCCATTGAGCACTTGATATGGGACCAGTGATACTGAGAAACTAAATTTTTGTTTTGTTTTGTTTTGTTACCAAGGATCGAACTCGGGGCCTTGCGCTTGTGCAGCAGGTGGCGAAACCACTGAGCTT